TTCAGGTTATATTGTGTGTTTGTTTATCAGGTGTGACAAATATTGAATGTCATGAGAAGTGCAAAAGGTGTGTAATAAAAGTGGGGAATTCTGGAAAAATTGGTTTTTCAGACAGCTGCCCATATACTGCAGCAGTTCCTACATTGATACAGTGCATGGAAGTCTCGATTTTGCTGAGTCAGTTTGATATCTCAAACTCAAAGAGCGGTGAGCTTTGATACAAATAAATGAGTAATACAATGGTTGAATGTTAGGCAAAATAAAGGTTGAAATGATAAATAAATGTATCAATGATAATAAGAAAATACATTTCTGGTTATTTGTACTGAGCACTCATGAATGAAATTACCTTGGAAAATCCTGTTTTTGTGCATTGATTTTCAGCCTCACAAAGAGAGGTATGATTTTACAGTTAGACAAGTATAACAGTTAGTATGTCTCACACAAGAATTTGTGATTCTTTTATCACAAATGCTACTGTTAATACCGTTAGGCAACCATAATTTCGTATAAAACATACACTTATACCATTAAAGAATATCATAATTTTTGTTATATATTGTATTTTAAAGTATGACGTTTGAATATGAAAATATGTAAATTTGTTGAAAGAATATGATTTCTCTAACCATTATGCAACCTAGTAAAAAATTTTCATAGTCTATACATTATAAGACAACTAACTATCTTAACATTCATTTGCATAAAATAAGATAGATTTTCAGTGGGCAAGAAACAAAATAGACAATATCCAACAAAAAAACAAACTTCCATTCAACAAAGAAAAATAAATAAAAAANTGCCACTGCTTGTTCTTCTTCAGCCGCACCAGCTTCTCTTCCATTATCTTGCCTGAGGGACCTAAGGACGAATTATTATATTAAAAAAAAAAAGGTTTTGTATTTGCATATATTTTCACATTAGTCCCCCTTGAGGGAATGCGTTTGTAGGATAGAAAAATGTGTCAGATGGCTAATTTTGTGGTTTTCGAAGATCACTGGCTTTTTTTGTGATTAGCTAATCCTCAGGGGTTGTCCAAGTAAACATCGTAACATTTTTCAAGAATATGTTTCGAGAGAGTGAATCATAAGTGTCCCCTTCACTAAATAAGAATAGAGATTTTCTGTTCACATTAGCCCCTCAAGGGGATTCGTTTGTAGGACAGAATCGCGTATCGTTGGCTAATTTGTAGTTTTCGAAGATCAAAGGCGGTTTAACGTCACAACAGCAATTTTAGTCTCAAGGTTCTAACAATTCGCTCTTTGGTCAATATCTTGCTTCAATTTGAGGACTGAAATTGCAACAAATTCCCGAATTCCCAGATTTTTCGATTAGCAATTTAAGTCCTGTAATTTAAAATTTTATTGCAATCTCCGTAATTTGAAATTTTTGAGCAAAATATTAAATCACAGGACCAAAAGGCGAAAAGCAGGAATCTTGGAACTAAAATTAATTGGATGTTAAACCAACAGGACTAAAAATGCATTTCTGCCGAAATATACACATGACATGAGGTTTGAAAATTATTAGAAAATCAATATACGATAATTATGCTAAACCAACAGCAAGATGATAAGCTATTCAATCGACTAGAGATATTAACCGAGGTAATCTTAACTGTAATGTAATCTCCAAGTCAAACATGTTTGTATTGAATTTTCCAAATCAACATCGAATTCGCCTGCTATACACAAAAGGCTACTTAGAACTAATCAGACAAAATGCATTATGATAATCAAGGAAAATCTACCTATATATCTCCATAATCTTCACAAAATTTCCAAGCTTCATAGCTCAAGGTACCTCGTTTTCTTTCTTTCTTTTTTTTTTCTTTTTTTTTTTAATCTTGCGTACCACACCTTAGTCTCTAAATTACTATAGATACATTGACAAAATTACAAACCACACCACACCATTGCATTGAGATACAAATCCATATATAGATATCCAATCCATGGTCACTAGACAACAAGTGCTACTCGAGTTCTAAAACGAAATCGAATAGCAACACACGATAAAAATCCGGAACTTTAACCAGAATTTTCGGGCTAGCAGACCACACACATTGATCTAAGAATTGAAAAGCTGATGAACATACATACTTCTTAACGACAGCTTCTAATCAACAAACCCGAAAAACACGAAAAGGGCATGAAAGGTAGAACTAATCAAATGTACGAGTAAATAAGACAATCAATCAAGAAAGAACCTTAAAAACGGATTCGGGTATAAAAGCATCGCTATTGATGGAGATCGTTACTGGGACCTG